TTGCCCCAGAGTGACTTCTTTCAATCTTAATCAATCGGATCTCATCTTTCCTCCTCACATTTCCTTCATAATAGAAAAGTCCTGATTTCTACTCCTTTCCCACACCCCAAGCTCAGGTGGCTCACCAAGCACTATTGTTTCCGTTTTGATTAGTTTTAAATTAACGATCCATTAGTCCTTCAACCACTGGAGGAGTAATCAGGAACCCAACCCAAATTGTACTTTGCATCTAGAAGAGAAGCTCCGTCCTCTTTTGTCCACTCCTGGGAACTCTGTGCAAAGTTCCCAAACTACATTGGTCTAGCCCTTATCAATTCTTTGTTCCGGGATCGCTCACATTAGCAAGCCCTCTGGACACGTTTTTGGATATAACTAGCCCAGCACAACTCCATTGCAGTGTTTGTGTTATCTCGGGCACCTACCAACATGAACCCCCAGTATACTGGGTCCTTCCTCTCAGCAAAGTCAAGTGCTGGTCATTTTGCCATCTCTCCTTCCCAGGTGAAAACAAGATCAGGAAAGGTAGCTATTGCCCCGCCCCCACTATTATCCCATTCCTCTCTTTATTTTCCATACATCTTGTATGTGTGTATGTTCCATGTGTGCTTCTTGTGTGTTAAATTCCCTAAATATCCTTTAATAAAACATTCTCTATTTTACCCTTGGACTGGTTATTAAGAGCTCTCATAAAGGGAACGATCCCTGTAAACATAGGTAGGATGATCCTTGCTGATACCCCACCTCCCGCTGAGGCCTGCCATTTAGCTAAATTCCCCCAGAAACTGAAGGCAGCGATTCAGCTTCTTAAATCTACGCTGGTAGGGGTAACATTCCAGGCGGGCTGGAATGCCGCATCTCTAGGGCGAGCGATTAGACGGGGGGAGCTGATCCTTCTCTCACTTGTATTAGGAGAGGTAAGCCCACCAGTGTTCCCTCTAAGCTGAGTTAGTGTGAACTAGCTCACAGTTTTTTAGCCTCCGGCTCACACATTTTTGACTTAGCTCAGGAAGGAGGGCTCCAGAGCAAACTAATTTATGCAGCAGCCAAATCACTTGCTCACAACTTTAGTGCCAGTAGCTCGTAAAGTAGAATTTTTGCTCACAAGACTCCACAGCTTAGAGGGAACATTGAAGCCCACAACCTATTTCAACTGATCTTTGTCCGAGAATTAAAAAATGAAGTGTTTCCCTAACCCATGTAACCGAAAGTCTGGTTTTTGCATAGGCCCATCCTTGTTACACGCTGCAAACTGCGGACAATCGCTGGCAGTTAGTGGCATTTGCTCTCAGTTATGGTTCCAGTAGCTGTGCCAGCTTGTGGTATATTTGCATTTATTCTTGGCCCTTTTCTGCCAAGTCTGGTAAATGTGGTATTCTTTGAGCATGTAGTTGGTAGCTAAGCAAGCAAATAGGTTTGAGATGAATGCAGAGGCTGGAGCAATGGCTGCTGATGTCGCAGAGGCACTGGGGGCTCTATATGGGAGCTGAAGAAGTGCTATACAGTTTCGGGTGGTGGCGGCTTAGAGTTCATTTTGCATTGTTTTTGCTTTCAGCTTGTAAACAGCACCTCTTGCATTCATATGTGCAAAGTGGTTCAGAAGGAGGAAGAGAACAGGAAGACTCTCAATGGCGTTGTGATTGTAACGTAGATGATTCACAGCCAACAAGGTCTCCTGCTTTCATGTCATTCTCAAACTCTTTATCGGCAGAAGTACACATCCCACCCCCCCAATTCGATCTCATATCCAAAAAGGGCCTGAGCAGATTCTCCTCTGCTCTGATTTCTGGAGTCGAAGCTCAGTGGACTCTCATGCAAAGTCTCTCCCCTCATTTATTTTTCTGCTCTTGTTCCCTGTAATAGCCCCGCAGTGTTCCCTCTAAGCTGAGTCAGTGTGAGCTAGCTCACAGTTGTTTTTAGCCTCCAGCTCACAGACTTTTGTCTTAGCTCAGGAAGGAGGGCTCCAGAGCAAACTAATTTCTGCAGTAGCTAAATCACTCGCTCACAACTTTAATGCCAGTAGCTTACAAAGTAGAGTGTTTGCTCACAAGACTCCACAGCTTAGCGGGAGCATACTGTGACTGGGCACTGTCAGCTACCCCAAGGCCTCTGCCCACTCTCCCTTACTGCCCTGAATCCCCTGCCAGGTGTGTTTTATAGTGCCACCTTTCTCTCTCTCTGCCCCTCCTCCAAGTGTTTTGAAGTCAGTTAAGGGCTTACTCCATTCGGCCTCATCCTCAACTGAAGTGCATCCTTTGAGTGTAGAGGTGTTAACTCCATCACTTCATTGTAGCCAAATTAAACAGGAGTTTGGTAGCCTCTAAAAGAAGGCATAGCCTCAGGTGCTGACTTGCCCTGTTAATTTAGGGTTGTCAGCCTCCAGGTGGGGCCTGGAGATCTCCTGGAATTTCAGCTGATCTACGGATAACAGAGACCAGTTCCCCTGGAGAAAGTGGCTGCTTTGGAAGGTGGACTCTGGTGTTATACCCCACTGAGCTCCCTCCCCAAACTCCACCCTTCCCAAGTGCCACCCCCCAAACCTCCAGATATTTCCCAACCTGGAGATGGCAACCCTGCCTGCTACACTTAACTTGCCCATCCTCTTCTCTGTTACTCTTACCTCTTCTTTAGTGCCCTTTTCTTAGTTGTCCCTTTTCACTGTTGACTTGTAAGCTGTTTGGCTGTTTAGGGTGGGGGGGCAGTGCTTCCTCCCCACCACCAAATACATTTTTCTGTTTCCTCCAAGGAGCTCACAAGAGCATAATCATTTCCCCTTCCTCATATTAACTTCACTACAATCCTGCGAAGGAGGACAGGCTGAGAGTGAGAGGGATTGTCCTACGGTCACCCAACAAGCTTTCATGACAATGTGAGAATCTTAACCCAGGCCTTCCAGATTCTAGTCCAATATACTGTGCGTGTGTGTGTATTTCAAAAGCTCCATGTGCACTGATGGGGTAAAAATTTCAGTCCCCAGAGGAGAACCCGGCCATATTCAAAGGACTCTGTGTCTCTCCAGCAGGACATGTGGAAGAGTTAATCAAGGACCATGAGTGATAGGTGTGTGATTATGCATTGCAGGCAATCCGAAATGAAGGAGCGGCTGTGTCGTAAGACAGGGGTTTCCAAACTTGCTTAACATAAGAGCCACATAAACGTCAGATGTCTGAGAGCCACATGACATGAATATTACACATATAGTTTTTATTGGAAAATATGCATAGTTGCTTTCTTTTAACATTAAATGAGACTGCCAAAAATAAAAACAAAAGGGGTAAAATAGGTATTGATAATTATATTTATTTGTCTAATGATATTTGTAGGTGGAGCTTTGAGAATGCATTGAAAGTTAGTTGCTTTCATTCTCTGCTCCCCCATGCCTTGAGCCTGCCCCGGAAGGGGAACTGGCTGGGAAAGGGAAGACCATTCGTGGAGGCATACCTCCCCTCCGCTTCCCCAGCTGTCCTGCCAGGAGCCACACAATATGTGCAAAAGAGCCACACGTGGCTCCCGAGCCACAGTTTGGCCACCCCCGTCGTAAGACATGCTCAGTTGCTCACCTCCAGCTGAGACTCTAGAGCAGGAGTGTCAAAACACCGGCCCATTCATGGTTCTTCTCTTGCTCGTGAGCAACTGGCCATTACATTTATTGCCAGAGGCTGTGCATTATGTCCCTGTATACTGTCCCAGTGCTAATGCGTAATGGGCAGTGGAAGTGGGAGGGAGATAATTTGAGGGAATACTGTAAGAATGTTTAAAGCATGTTTGTATTTTGAGCAGAATAGATCATCAATTTGCCGGTGTCCTTTAGAAAGTTTCTATCTCCAGTACCTGGCGTGACATTTTATGGCACACGCGGCCTGGCCTGACAAAGTGAGTTTCACACCTCTGCCCTACAGGTTTGAATTGACTTCTGATTTTTCTACACAGTCTTATTGTCCGTTCAAGCCGCCCAAGAGCTGCGCCTGCTCCTGCATCTCTGCTCCTTTGCCGGATGCTTATTCTGGCAGAAAGTTGGAGCTGCCTTGCGAAGTGCTTTGCTCTGCTCTGGCTAGGGCCGCCCTTGGACTTTCCTGTGAGCCCTGGGCTGCTGGCTCTTTGAGACTGCTGCAGCCGTGTGGGAAAAGCAAGATAATCTTTGCTGGACCCAAGGAGCTGGGTATCACAGAACAGTGTTCTTGTAAGTGGACCACACAGTCATTCAGTTCAGTAAGTTCTGGTGGCTGAAATGCTTACAGTGTGTTCCATAAAAAGGAGAGAGAAATGAAGGCCTTTCCCAGAAAACCTGGAGTAGTATTAGTTAACTAATTGCTGTGCCTGAGCTGGGAAATGGGAAGCCCCACATTCAAATCTCCCCTCTGCCACAGACTCACAAAATGGAAGAGGGTGGTGGAGGAGTTGGATTTATACCCCGCCCTTCACTCGGAGTCTCAGAGCAGCTTACAATTACCTTCCCTTCCTCTCCCCGCAACAGACACTTTGTGGGGTGGATGGGGCTGAGAGAGCTCTGAGAGAACAGCTCTGAGAGAACTGGGACTGGCCCAAGGTCACCCAGCTGGCTGCATGTGGAGGAGTGGAGAATCAAACCCGGTTCTCCAGATTAGAGTCCACCGCTGTTAACGACTACACCAAACGGGCTCTCTAAACCACTCAGCCTCCCTTCCCCTGCTACATAGGGATGATAATAATATTGGTCTACCTTGGAGGACTGTTGTCAGGACTGGCAATCCTCACTGGCAGTCTTTAAGCAGCAGCTGGACAAACACTTGTCAAGGATGCTCTAGGCTGGTCCTGCATTGGGCAGGGGGTTGGGCTAGATGGCCTGTATGGCCCCTTCCAACTCTGTGATTCTATGACTGTAAGATATGTGAATGGCTTTGAATATTCAACAAGCACTACATAAACCCCAACTCTTATGAAAATACTTAATTACAACTCAGCTCTTTCCACATATCGGTGCAGCTGTACTGAGTGTACAGGATGAAACGGCAACCAGAGCTTACTAGGCCTGTGCTGCATCGTGTCTCAAAGAGCGCTGAGTCTAGTCATTACCTTTCCAGGCTGATTCAAACCCCAAATATGGTACAGTAGTTAGAGAGTGTGCCTAAGATCTGAGGGACCCAGGTTCTAATCACCAGCCTGCCATGGAAGCTTGCTGGGTGACCTTGGTGCTGCTCCAGACTCAACACAGTTGTACGGTTAAAATGGAGAAGAGAAGAATGATGTAAACCGCTTTGGGGGCCCCTTTTGGAGGAAAATAGGGTATAAATGAAGTAAACAAATATTTGGGAGCAGTTCTCTGGCATTAAAATGGCACTGCATGGTTAACAGGGGCAGATGCTGACTTTAGTAAGAACACAAAATGGAAATATACTCTGCACAAGCTCAGAGGCACTTCAGTGTATAATTCCTTCACATGCTTTAGGGCATCCGAACCAGGTTGTGGGACAGTGGGATTTATGTACCCGTAGGCCTTTGCGTGGGTCAGCTCCCAAGAAAACAGAAGGACGTTTCCTTTAAAAAGTTATTTATTAGTTGGTTTTATTTTTGAGGGGGAAAGCAGTTATGGTTCTTCTTTATAAAAAGTGTCCCATCCAAGTTACATCGAGGTGAGTAGCATGAAGATGTGGAGCAGGCCGGCCGTTCGTGGACGGGGGATCCGGGACAGGCGCGGGGCACCCCGCTCGCTCGGATCTAGACGACGTGACGCTGCCCGCATTAGATATGCCGGATGCAGACCGGCGGGGCTAATCCGCCAAGGGTTTGGCAGCCGGCGGCCACGGCAAGATTGAGGTTAATCCCATTGGCGCTGCCGGCCTGACCCGAGTTGCTCCCCATGTAAGCAGGCAGCACACCAGGGTAGGAGAAAAGGGCTCCAGTTAAAGGGCCCTGGATGAATTAGTGGCAAACCCCCCCCCTTATATCCAAAGAGGAGCCTGCAGAGATGGACTTGACGGGGGCAGGGCCGACTGGCCAGGGGCTACTGACCCCCCGCGCGCGTGTGGTCACGGGGCTCAGGAGCAGTTAAAGTGCTGGGGCAGCCCCCCTCCGAAAGCAGCCCCTCCTTGGCTGCAGCACCAAAGAGCCCCGGGGGGAGTGGAAGGCGGGGGGGGGTGGAGATCCCCACAGGATGGTTGTAGCACCAGTGAGAGGGACGGAGGAAGAGGGGCTGGCTGGGGGACGTGGGGCGAGGCACGAGGTGGCGGAGGTCGTGGTGGAATCTCTGCTTGTACTCGGGGTGGGGAGGTACATTGGAAACCAGGCAGTAGCACCAAAGTTCATGAGGTGAATGGTGTGAAGTCCAGCAGGGCTACTTTCTCTTGCGGCCGACCCCACCTGCGGGAGAGAGAAGATTGTCAGCACGGGGTGGGGGACGAGGAGGCACAGCTCCCCTGCTGGTCTGCGGTTGGAGCAAAGCCCAGATCAAAATTTGGGGGTGGGTGGGAGTGGAGGGAGAGCACTGGGTCGGATCCTACCCGCTTTCTCGCTGTTGGAAAGAAGAAACGGACTAGGGGATGTGGAAACCACCCAATCTGAAATGCTGGGGAGCTGCTGCCGGTCAGAGTAGACAATACTGACCTTGATAGACCAAGACAGTGTCTGACTCAGCATAAGGCAGCGTCG